ATAATAAAAATTATAACTAAATATATATTTACTAAAATCTTTAAACAAATCTATATAAAAACATATATCTCTATAGCAATATGTAATATTTTTAAAGCAACAAAAATATAATTATTCAATTCTAATACTATTAGTTCTAACTATCTGAAATCTTTAATAACAATACAAAGATTTGACTTACAAAGTCTTAAAAAACTAACTTATTTAATTATTTTACTAGCTTTATTTCTTTTATTTAGAATTATTTTAAATTATCTTAGCCTAACTTTTGCAAATAAAAAATTGTAATCAAAAATAAAATTACTTAATAAAAAAGTTGAACATTTAGAATTAAAATTAGAATTTTATAAAAATTCTAATATTAATATTTTGTAGTTAATACTTAAATATCCTTTGTACTATTTTTTAAAACAAATCAAAAAACTAGAAATAAATAAAAAAAATAGTTTAAAACTTAATAGCTAAAAAAAAAATGCAAGACTATGCCTTTTGTCCAGCTTTTTATTAATAAAGAATTATTGTATTTATTAAAAAAAACAAAGAAGAAAGCAAAAAAAAACTGTTAATAAAAAAAAGTAAAAAAAAAAAACAGTTATTTAATAATAAATAGTATAAGAAACTATAAAGATACAAAAGTAAAAAATTCACAAACAGGTAGCATAAACCTTTAATAATGTTATCAAACTAATAGAAACTTACAAAACTCCAATAAGGAATAGACAGACATGCAACTAGATGTCAAGATGTGTAGAAGAGCATATAACCAACCAGACTGCTGAAACTGTCAAAGAAAAAGAATATCAAAGGTATACTGTACTGAGTTATTTAAATTAGAAATTCAAGAAGTCTGTTAGATTCTAAGTTAGATAGTAGAGAGATGAAAAAAAAAAGTTAGAAAGATAGATACTGGAGTTTGAGTAAACTTTACAAAAATAGAAATAGTATAATATAGTAGTTAAACAGACAACCTTTGTAACTGCAAATGTTAGATAACTATAATGTATTGCATAAAACTAGGTCAGTATATATAAAATATAAAGGCTCTAGTAAGTTTTCTGTTAAGAATAAAGTAGTTCTAAGATATTAATAAGCATTAGGAACTTAAAATAAATGTAATTTTAAGATGTTTTCATAATACAAGATAGATTGTATATGCAGAAGGTTTAAATAAGCAAGACTTTTAGCTAACTTGCAGGTATGGCATCTAGTGTAAAACTTATATAACAATATATAAGTGAACTACTTAAATTAGGTACCAAAAGTGCATATATAACTAGTTGAAACCTCTTATATAAAGGAGTTTTTGATGACATCCATGTTTTATAACTTGAATAAAACAGTTACAACTTAAAAATAAGAGACTTTAATATAAAAAAAAATTTATAAACAAAAAAAGAAAAAAAAAACTATATAAAAATAAAAAACAATGTATTAAAAATACAACTTAAAATTAAAAAAATATAAAAAAAGATAATACTATCTGAATATATATAACTATATTATTTTTGATCATTCTTTAGATAATCTTAATTTTTAAAAAAAATTTTATATAATTAATAAAGTTTTTTTTAGTAAATTATTACTTTTTTAAAAAAAAATTTAGTTTAAGTTAAAATAAACTTACTTTATTAAAGGTTAACAAATGTTTAAGTTAATTTGACAAGATTTTTATATTATATATTTAATTGTATCATAATACCTATACTTATTTTATATATTATATTACATCTAATATTAATTTTTTACTTTATATTTTTTTTATAATATTAAAACATAATGTTAAATAGGTTTAACATTTTTATATATAACTTTAATGTATAATAAAGTAATCAAAATTCAGTATATTAATTCAAATTTAGAGTTGAAATAGATACAAAGTATTAAGCAATAATGCAACTATACAAAATTATTATTTAAACAACTTTATATAATATGTAGTACTATTTAGTTTGTAATTCCTATTTTAATTTTAAATTTTGAACAATTTGCTTACTTTACTAATCTATCTTTTTTAGAGAATTTAGTATAACATATTGTATATAGTATTTATTTTTTATTATATAGTCTATTATTTTATAATATGCTTTAATACTATATATTCTTTGAACTTTATTCTATTTATAACTTAACAATAGTTTGTTAGCATAAGTAACAAATTATATACTAATAATATAATAATATATATTATATATATATTTTTTTTTGCTTTTGCTAAGGCTGTAGTTATCAGCAGCTATTGTCTTTATTGTATTTTAATTATGATTACATAACTTGTACAAGGTGAGTATACAACTAACCACATATACAACTTTTGGTTATTTAATTTAAGTAGTCTGCTTGCATAACAGATTCTATACTAACTGCCATACCTCCAATCTACTAAGAGATTACTTATTTAAACACTCTGATCTTTATACTTATACTGACAAATAGCACACAAGTTCCTGTACACCTAAGTGCCATCTAACCTAACTATGACCTTCCTGTCTGTACATTCATCAAGTCATTACACATTTCAGAGTATGTCACCTGACTTGTAAGACTTCAGAAGGCCCCTCTGCTAACTAACTACCTACATTTAGTATCTTATTAACAGGACTCATTCTTGCAGAGTTCACTCAGATCCCAGCACTGACTTTATAGCATATCTCTAGTACTTTAGTATACCTCTGTTTCCGATCTCAGACTCCTAATCCAGATAGCCCAGTAGAACTATAACCTGTTCTTGGTACTTCAGGATCTGTTTTCCAAGGTTCTTTTTCTTTAGTTCAAAACTTCTGACAGTCTGATTGATAGTACCTCTCATCCAAGGTTCTTATCTACCTGATTCCTTCTACATTGGTATCTGTTTCTTAGGTCTAGCCTTTACAGTAGTATTGTTGAAGATTTGTGCTACCTCTCTACTCAGGTCTTCCCAAGTAGGTTTCAGTTTTTCCAGTTCACAAATTTACATAGCTATGAAGACTTATCTTAGATTTGCACTGTCTAATGCCAGTTTGCATTTCTTTGTGTAACTTTAATATTGCACAGATGCCCTATGACCTGACAGTTATTTGGTGTAACCATGTTACAGGTACTGATCCCAACTAATCGACAGATTGCCATTGTTGTAGTACCAGACACAAAAGCTTATCTTGAGTTTGCACTGCCCAATGTCGATTTGCATTCCTTTGTGTAATTCCAACATTGCACAGATGCCTATAGTACCAATATATATAGGTGGTTCTTCCAAATTTTCACCATTGGTAGGTTTTGAACTTCCTACCTACCACTTGGAAGGTTGACAACTTATTCACTTCACTAAGTCGTCACACTTCTAATAATATATATTATATTAATTTTGCTAATTTGTATATTTATAAATATTAAAATTTTTTTATTTTTTATATAACTGTTTTAAACTTTTAAAAGAAGTTTAACTATTGATACTATGTCAATTTAATTTGATTTCATATTTACATATTAATATATCTTTATTATATTTATTATTACTTCTTTTTGTTAAGAATATTTTTGTTAAGAAAATATAATTAAAATTATCAAATACTGAAAACCATTTTTAGAATATTAAAAACTATTTATTTTGTACTCAAATTATAATATAAAAATATAAAATATTTTTTTGATATTTTTATATAAATGTATCAAAATTGTAATTTTAAGCATTAAAATATATAGAAATATAAGTCTTTTACTTTTTTTCAAACAATACATAGAATTAATTTATCTATATGTTTTAAAATGCTTTTTAGAACAGTTACAAAATTACTTTTAGCTTTAAAGAAATGTAAATTAGTCAGGTAAAAAGAAAAAGAAATCTTTATTTAACTTTTAAGATAACAATAGTTGCTAATCAAGGTTTAAGATACTTGAATTTGTTATAATAAAAGACTTAAACCATATTTAAGATATTCTTAAGTTTGGCTTTAAAGCATTTTTGGCTTATTGATTATGGCTATAAGTTTGGGTTCATAGTAAACTTAATAAGTTTGCTTTTTTTTGATTGTAAACATTATTTTATCCTCTTATTCTACTTTATATATGTCTAACTCTTAGTGACCTATATTATTAATAATTTACACTAGATCTGGAATATTTTGTTACTATTACAAAATTATAAGATTTCCGCAATGACCTTTTTTGACAATATTCTTTGATTATATATCCTAGACTAGGAGTCAGCTCCACAAATATTCATTGTTAAAAATAAACAATTAAAAGGAAATATTAGTTACACTAACAATTCATAAATAGTTAAAGATTAAAATTCATAAATAATCAAGGATTATTTGTTTTGAATTAATATATTTTTATGTAATAATATGCAGAGAGTAATTGCCAAAATTTGGAATAACATTTATACATAGATGTTATATTATTACATAACCAAAACCTGTAAATATTTATTGTAGGCATATTCTTTGGTGGATTTTAATATTTCTTTGGAGGTTATTCGATATCCTATTAACATGCTCTAATATATATATGGAAGAGTCAATATAAACGAGACGAATCGTGTTTAATACCTTTTTCTTTCAATTATATAGGCAAAAATACCATTCCGAACGGATCTTTGGTGCCAATCTTGATGGATTAAAAAAAAATTATTTGAGCACTGTTCCTGATAGGGAACCCTAATCCAAGCTTTTTCATAGTAGTATAGTATTTTAAAGGCCCTTTTTTAGAACCTATCTATCAGGAACGGTATTTTGCATTATATAGAGTTAAAAAAAAACTCTAAGCATGGTTTTACTGGGCGCATTAACCCGTTTGATAACTTTTTTTTGATCATTCTATTGCTCCATTGTAAATTTTATTTATTCTATTATATTCTATCATAAATTTTTTATATTGAATAATTATAAATATATCTATTTAGTTTTTTAATCTAATACTTATTTATTTAATAATTACAAATTTACAAATTATTTAAAACAATAAAATTTTTATGCAATAAAAATGCTCTATGGTTCTATTCACAAACTAAAATATTCAATTGATCAACCCTGTGAATTACAGTTCGTGTCGTTTGTCTTTATGTCAGGGGTTGGCCCTGGAGGTTGAACCCCTGAAAACATGGCATTCATTGTAGGGGGAAGATTGGGAATTGGAGGAAGAAGTGATGCAGCAGTTTTTCGTGATTGTTGAATCAATAACGCACTAAAATTAAGTATAAAAATAAGGTTATGCTCTTTCATGTACAAAATTTTCTTCATATACCTACTCCATAATAACCAGCGCCGCCATAGATTCGACAATAGGAACAGCTCTTGGTACTACGCACGGATCATGGCGACCTCTTGCTGCAAGTACTCCATCAACACCATCATAAGTGGCTGTTTTCTGCGCTTGAGAAATAGTGGCTGGCGGTTTAAATGCAACTCGAAAGTATATGTTTTCTCCGTTCGAAATACCACCCTTGTTAATATAGACATGTCAACATAACTGAAACTTGAATAATTTTATAAAGGTTCCGATTAAAACCATTGTGTATCAAATACCTGAATTCCACCTGAATTATTGGTTTGGGTTCCTAAATGTCCATCTTTTTTAATCCAAGGGTCATTATGTTGATGTCCAAATATTGTTGTACCTTTGAATCCGCTTCCAATTTCAAACCCTTTAGTAGCTGGGATCGAAAGCATTGCATGTGCAAGTTTGGCCTCTAATTTATCAAAGCATGGCTCACCAATTCCTGGTGGAACATTGCGAATCACGCATGTAATAGTTCCACCAACAGAATCGTTAGCCGCTTTAGCTTCAAGAATACGCTGCATGAAGTAACTTACATTTGAATGCTTGTGATTATTGAAAAAAATAATAATATATATGTTGTACCCCGAATTGGAATCTGTCTCGATTCTGAATCGGAGCAGTCCTGGATGAGAATTTTGTAATTTTGGCTCGAATTATACTAGCCAAAAATAAAAATTTTTTATAGTATACCCTAATTCTAACCCTAAAGCCTTAATTCTGCTAAAACAATTTGCGAGATTCCCATCCGGGGCTGCCCGATTCTGAATCGGGACCATTCCAATCTGGGGTACGACATATATATATATATATATGTTATATTTACAAACCTCGCGCATTTTTTCTGAAACTTCTTTATTCGGGCATTTTACAGGATCTTTATCAACTTCCTCTCGTGTTATGGTGTTAAGCAATTCCCAAAAGTCTTGTGGAAACAATCTATCATCTTCCATATGAATAAATGGCATAACAACTGATGAAACGGAGGATACAAAAGCCACAAATTCAATTCCGTGTGCGAGCTTAAGATACTTTTCTGCAATAGCACCAGCAGCCACTCGACCTATTTTTGAGAAAATCAAAGAAATTGTAAAAATTCTTATTCTACGAATTGATTTAATAAAAAAAAAACATACCTATTGTTTCTCTGGCAGACGCTCTACCACCACCACTACTAGCTTTAACACTATATTTTTGGAGGTATGTCCAATCGGCATGACTAGGCCTCGGGTAAAAGTCTGTTTCTGAATAATCATGAGGCCTCTGATCTTGATTACGAACCATCATTCCAATTGGTGTCCCAAGCGTGATTCCGAACTCTGTTCCGGATTGTATAGCTACCAAATCTTTTTCATCACGCTAAATAAGATCAATGGGATTAATATTAATAATTTAGTGTTAGATCATAAGGATAAAATGCTTTACACGCACCGGAGTAGTCAAGTTGCTTTGTCCTGGTCGTCTCCTACTCAATTGAGTTTGTATATCGGCTTCCACAAGAGGTAAACCAGGAGGACAACCATCCACTATGCATCCTACAGACTTACCATGCGATTCTCCGTATGTTGTTACGCGAAAAAGAGTACCAAAGGAACTCATGATCGTGGTGGCAATGGTGCAAACCTTTTTTTTACGATTTTTTTTCAAAAAACTCGGCCTTTTATAATTGACTCATGCATGCTCATAATAGCCACCATCATTGGTGTTACAAATCCGATAATCTGTAAATATACACGGGTTTAATGGACTTTGCTTATATTTTAAAGTGTAGTAAATAAATGCAAGATAAGCCACATGATTCATTTTGCGTCGTGAAACAAGTTATCTTTTAGAAATGGCTATTTGATATAATATTCGCGGTAAAATTATTTAGGCTATACAAAGTTGATTTTCTCGTTCTCATAACATAAAATAAAAAAATGACGGTAAAAATTTTTTATATAATTAAAATTTTTTTGAATTTTTTTTTTTTTTTTGTATATTGGCAAAAAAATTTAATTATATGTAAAAAAAACTTTTTAATTTTAATTTTTAGAGAAAGTGACCCGGCCGGTTGAGAACCAAAAAATTAACTTTGTATAGCCTTATTTAGAAATGGCAATCTCGAGAAAGCTTGAACGTTAAGGTTATCAAGAGAAAAATAATATCGCTTTCTTTTTATATAGATATGTATGGTTAAGGATTGTAGAATAATCTCCATTGGTTAAAAAATTATATTTTAACTAAATAATTACCTTGTAATATATCGTACAAATAATAACTTAATTACTCGGTCTGCAAAAAGGAACGAAATTGACAAAAAATTTTTTTAAGCTTAACTAATTTAAAATTAGTCAAAAAACATTTTTCACTTAAGGAACAAATGTTATCATAAATGTATCAATAAAATTTTGCAGTATGAGTTTTTTTTTCTTATATAGTGTTAAAAAAAAATTACGTATTGACAACATTCTGGGGCACTCAGAAAATGTGTACTGGGTTTGTGACGCAGACAAAATTCTTAAAATTCGGTAAGGTTATTGTTAGGAACTAGATAAAAGTAGTTGTGATGGTAAAATTGTCCAACGAAAACTTTTTGTTAGAGCACAAAATGTGGTTTCTTATGCTGACTTGAGTTATGAGCGATTTTTGGCAGAGCGAACGTATGTTTTTAATCTTACTCTTGAAATTTGATTCGTAGTTCAAAGGCAAAGCCGGTACACATTTTCCGAGTGCCATTCTGGATTCCAGTCGCCGATTTTAACTGATCGAGACTACAAAGAAAAAAAACCGGTAAGTCTAATGAAAAAAAAAAACACCATGACTTCAGATTTCAGGTACCTTTTTTTAAGTCCAATAAAACCGAAACTTATAAAACAAAAGTTTCAAAAAGAAATAAAAAATACGCACACGTATGAATTCAGAAAACGACGGCTCAACTTCTAATGAAGTTTAAACAAAAAATAAACACAAATGACGGCGACTCTAGAAAAATGACACTAAGTCAATCCGCATACGCCTTTAGAGCTTTTTTTTATTTATTGTAGATCTGGCAACGTAATATGCATGTTTAAATACCTGCAATTTTTTTTTTTTTCGGTAAACAAAATTTAGAAACACGATGTATTTTATTTCCGGCCGCTTTAAAATTACGCCGGAAGACAACTTATTAAACGAAACCTTCGACATTTTATAATCTATATAAATAAATTTTGGCGAAAAACTTTTTAACTCATTAAAATAAAACATTGATATTGCACTTTACATATAACAACACATAACAGTAAAAATTGGATTTTTATTATATTTAAAACGAAATATATTTTATTATACATATGAATAAGAATTTATTAACTGTTAAATTTTTTTTTATATTTGAAAAAACCTTAATTAGTATAATAAAAATTTTATTACGTATTAAACGGTATAGTAAAAAAAAAAGCTTTATTAAATCTAATTAATAGGTTAAAAAAAGTTTTAATCGCTAAATATTTAATAATTAAAAAAAAATCTTTTTAAAAAAAAAAGTACTAATATTAAAGAATTTTAAATACGTATAGCGGAAATAATTTATTTCGAAAAATTCGAATAACAAAAAAACTATAGTATTAAAACTTTATAGTAAAATAAATAAAAAAGCAGTGCAATAGAAAATTATAAAAAAAGAAAAAATTATTATTAAAACCTTTATGGTATAGTTGTTAATTCGCCGTTTTTCGGTGGGTATAGTCGTGGGTTCAATTTCTGATATGCATTTAAAAAATGTATGTAAACCGTGTTGCGAAGATCATAACTATATTTATAGTTCGATCTTAATAAACACGGCATTACAATTAATCTATCTCTGGTTGTTTGCGTTTTTTTTTTGTTAAATAACATATAAGTTATTATTACAAAACTTAACGAATTAGGCAGAGGTGCGAAAAATTAGCACAACCGTACCATTTCTCCCGACTTTTGGTAGTAAGTGCGGCTCTATTTTTTTTACCGACTTCTACCATTAAGCCAAGAGATAATGTTACGGAAGGCTTTAAAAAATGTTTTGCACATACCAACTACGAAAAGTTTGTAATATAAATGTTATCTAAAAAAAAAAAAAAAAAAGGAGAATAATAATAAAATTAATAAAAGAATTCTCATTTATATATTTTTTTTGATCGACACGTCTATTGTTTTGAGATCAGTCATCAAAACACACACGTCTTTAAAATCAATACACAAAATTAAAATTAATACAGTACACCAAATTAGAATCAAAACACACGTTTTAGTTAACGTGTATGTTTTGATGCTTTCGCAAAATCACGATTCTATAAATAAATAGTACGCGCGATTAATAACCAAATTCGTTACTTTTTTAAATAAAAATATCTTTATTTAAATAAATAATTAATACTATTATTATCTGATTTAATTATTTAATATATACAAGTGTTCAAGGAATTATCTATTTGTTAAGGTTATAGATGTCGGAACATTACTAATTTTAATGTGGATATATATTTACTTGAGGTAAAAAAATCCAATTTAGAGCTTGTATCATATAGAATAAAATCGATGAATAGGATAGAATTCAGAATCAAATAAGTCGAAAATTAAGAAATTAGAAATTTCGATACATAAGTTACTATATTAATTTATGAGAAATTATCCGTGACTTTATTTCTATACCATGGTTTAAAATGGATTCTTTAAATAAATATCACATATGTCAAATAGTGCAATCGAGAATCTGCTTTTCCTCAACTATAAACCTTTAGTTTTTCGTTTAGCCGAGATTACGATTTATTTATAGCGTTCAAAAGTATAATAAACACTTGATAGCGATAAATAATATTTATTAAATGCCTATAAGGAATTACAACCAAATTTGCTCAATGTTTTTATTACAAGCCTCGAATAAAATTTCCATGACTAGTATTACCAATCGAAGAGTTGAAAAAATCGATTAGAAACCAATTAATTGATTAAAAGAATTAATTCCGAAAATTAATTAATTATACGTATGTATAATTAGTTGTCGGCTGAAAAAATAATTACTAATTAACGATTTGTAACACTACTCATAATAACCGTTAACGATTATAAGTCAATTAATTATCTATAGAACGTTCCAGAATCGATGTAAAATCAGAATACTTTATATTTTTCACGTGCTAGCTAATGCTAACGCTAATGCTAACGTTAACGCTAACGCTAACGCTAATGCGTTAAAAGTCGAACATTCGAACATTCCGTCATATGAAATATGTCACTGTGTTACAGAATTATCATAAATGGCAGTGAGACTGCCCAAGGAAACGGCTGTTTTTTCCGTCTCAACTTTAACCAAAACTTTATTACTATGAGTTACCCAAACTATCCTTCGGTGCAATTTCCGCAGTCGAACATTACTCGTGTCTCTCCCTCGTCCTCTAACTATCCATTTTCCACTTCTCAACGCCGTCCGTCCTCCTCACCTTCACTTCAGAGAGAGAGAGAACTTTCACCACCTCCCCCTCAACAAAGAAGAAGTACCGGAAATTCTCCAGTAAGCTCTTTTAAAGTCACGCTATATTTTTAAAATAATAGGGTATATTTGTATAAATTATTACGCTTACAACCGTAAAAATTCTTTAAAATTAGATGAATATAATGGAAAGCACAGTTACTCAACTTCTTATCACTACAAAATCCTTGTTGGAAGCTTTGACCGCCTGGTCTAATGGACGTGCGACTAAGCAACAAGTTTCCGATATATATGTAAAACTGGCTTATGAAATGAACCATGTTGTTCAATTATTTGGACAGGCTGGTGTAGACACGAGGTAAGAAGTCTGGTAAAAGCTAATTAGCAACTCAATCAAGTACAATAATAAATAATTTAAATTTTGTAATAGTGACATGATGAATATTCCACAAGACTTGAAAGCATGTCTTGAGAATGCTCTTCGTGAAGAGGCTTCTCCTTCTTCCTTGGAGAACCACCTTCCTAAAATTAGAGATATCATAGTAACTTTGTTACAAGCTTTGAAAACAAAGCAAAGCATATACAATGATACTCAAAATAATTATGGAAATAATAGTCCACAACCGACATCTCCTATTAATGGTCCCCAGTCTATCTTTGCGAATCAATACCCGTCGCCTCCTCCTAGCAATAGACAAGATCATTTGTCTTCTTCCGATACATTACATAGTAATGACGGTAGTAGTCCTGTAGATCCTGTAGTTGTTTTAAAACGTGATAATCTCGAACGTCGTGCTTCAAGAAGATATTCTGCTTGGGGAACCGGAAAGAAAACTAACCCTCGTTCGTCTAAAAAAACGAGTTCTGCACAACCGCCGGTGCTTAATATACCTGAAGAAGTCGAAACTGTACATGAAGATGCAACTTTAAAATCTAATGGCTCTATTATAACACCACCTATAACATCACCTATAGAATCTGTACCTTCAAACAACGGAAATGACAAACCTAGTTTAGATAAACATAAAGCAAATGATGATACTAAAGGTACGGTTGGTACACTTATTTTGTATTTTGTTTCATTTATTGCTAATTATTTATTTCCTTTTTTTTTTTTTTTGTTAGATTCAAGTAATAAGAATTTTATTATTTTATATTTGCAACTTGGAAAGGATATCAAAAAAATAAAGCATGATGGAGATATAAATATGACTGCACTACAAATGTTGTTTGTTGAGAAATTCCAATATAATCCTGGGATGGAAAACTTTCCCAGTATTTATATAAAAGATCCACAAGTTGGTATACTTTATGAATTGGAAGATCTGAGTGAAGTTAAGAATAAATCTGTTCTAGCTTTGAATGTTGAGGGTATGAAAATTATTAATTATTCTATAATTTACAAATTTTGATTCGATTTAATATAATTATTGGCTGAATTGTCTTATATAATTGATAATTAAACTTTTTAAATAATAGATCTAGATCAAGTAAAAAAGCATATAGACGAAAGTATCGCCGGGTTAACAAAAGAGATACAAGATATCAAAAAATCCTTTGCTGAAAATACTGAATTATTACGTCGTGGAAATATTACTACTACTACAACGCCAAATATTACATCAACCAAACCTTTAGAACAACAGTCCATATCATCATCAACTGAAGAGGTCGACTCAATACGTAAAAAGGACGAAAAGTTAGATAAATCAAAGGATAATTTAGTGAATAAAATTGCTAGTGACCTTAAGAATCATTTTCATGAAGTTCAAAATCTTCGAAGGGATTTGGGTTCAATGCGACAGATCTATAACGAATTTCAGGGTGAAACAAAAAAATTATTTGAATCGTTGACTACTCAAACCGAGTCTGTTAAACAAGTTGCTTTGACGAATGTTGGATCTTCACGTTCATTCATCGATAATGGCAAAACAAAATTGGACGCTCGATCAATGGATCTACTTAGTAAAGTTGACGAGCTCCAAGACATTATAGATAGGATGAAATCAGACGTTGTAAAGAGGGGTGCTAGGCCACCTCCCACGGAAATTCAACATGTTAAACAAGAATCAATGGCTGTTGCTAAAGAACTTTCTTCTTTGCAAGAATATGTAAAAACTGTCAAGCCAACATGGAAACAAACATGGAAGCAAGAGTTGCAAACAATTGTTGATGAACAGCAATTTTTAAATCATCAAGAAGAGCTTTTAGAGGATTTACAAGAAGATCACAAAAAATTAACTGAAGTTTTCAATACTATTCTCAAAGTAATTAAAACCCCAAGTCAAACTAGAGTATATGTGCCTCCTACAGTGGAAGAAGGTTTTGATGGTTTAAAAACTGTTCTACAGGAAGTTCGGGGAATCTCACCTGATCATGAACGGCGATTAAAAGCTTTGCAGGCGGCCGAAAAGCAGCGCGAACGTGATTTAGCCAATCGTATTGATGAATTTGAGGCTGAATTAACAGATTTTGTTGCCCAAAATAAGTTAAAAAAGACTGGTGGTGCACAAGAGGTAGAAAGACTACGTCAAAAGAAAAATGAAGAAGCATTAAAAGAGCTTTTCAAGACTGAAAAAAATGAATAATCTTGACGTTATTTTCTTATACATGGCCTTTGGACTTTATAAAATTGATGGCATTATGTAAATAACATACATAATTTTTAGATATCAATCTTTAAATTACTGGAAATTTGTGTATTTATTTTACTGATTTACGTTATTAGCTATTTGCAATGAATTTTACAATAATAAACGAAAAAAAATTTATGTATCAATTTATGATTATTGTACCAGGAAATCTTATTTTTATTCAAAACAAATTACAGTTTGTTATTAAAGAATTATATTCTAACATTATTGTAAATATTTTATTACTTATTGTACTAGTGTTAAGATTTTAATTATAATTGCATTTATTTTTTTTATAAAAATGTATATAATTTTAAAGAAAATTTAAGACGTTAGTTAAGTAACATTTTTTAGTTATAATTATATGATTTGGTCATGGCGATCATTTTACTATGTGTTCGAAAATGTTATTTTATTTTTTACAATATTTATAAGTTGTTTTGATATATAAAAGTGAAAATTTTACTAAGTCATTTTTGGTTTTTAAATAAAGTTGTTTAAACCATTAAAATATATTAGTTATTTAAATTTTAATGTAAAATTTTTAATTATAAGTTGAATGATTGACATACTTAAATTTCATATATAAAATTTAAATATATTTTATTTTTTTAACTTATTTAGTAAAAAGAAGTTGTTAGTTTAATTTTATAAAATTTTAAGAATGGTTTATAATATTTAAAAACATTATTATATAAAGTTAATTAATTTTTTGTCAATTTTTACTATTTATTTATAAGTAATATACATTATTTTATCAAAATAGGTAATTAGAACTGTCAATTTAGTTAATAATTCTAATTATCTATTTTGGTAAAATAATAATTATTGCTTATAAATATGTTGATAAAAATTTGAAATTCTTTTTATGTTATAATTAATAGTTTTCTGCTATTGGTTAAAATAAGATACCTATTACTTGTATTATACCAGTATAACAAAGGTTACATGATATTTGTACAACATACTGTTATATGAAAAAACACAAACTAATACTGGACTGTGTAAACCTATAATAAGTACTTTAGTAAATACATATTTCTATCTTAATAATTAATCTACTAAATTATCTTCTTAATAACAGACAAAATTCAGTCATTACAAGTATTAAACTAACACAATTCTACATAGTACAAGATGGAATAGACTAAAGAGAAATTTTCTCATTACTTTTATGATAAATCTATTATAATTCATTAATTTATCATATAGATACAACATACCAAGAATATTGTCTTAATATTTATATCTATTATTTTAATTTGTTAATATATACCTTAGTAGTAGCATACATAGATAATACAATATAGATAGTCAAAAATAAATAAGAATTGCAAAACATACTGTTATAGGTAAAAACCTTCTTAATTTTCACACTATAATAACAATATGGCATAAAAAATCTCTTACAGGTATATGCGGTATTCAAGAGGGAAGTATAGCTTCTGTTAGACATTGTCAAGAAACTATACTCTTCTCTGAGGCAGTTCAGGAAAGGTAATGCAATACT